TCTGGGCAAACAGGCATTTCCTGGCCTAGATAACATTATAGTTCAATACTGGCTGAGTCCACCAGATTTCACACACATCAGCACACCCACACGTGTACAGGATGAGAATAATAAGCAGGTGACCTGTACAGCTAAATCAAAACGTCCTGCTATCGGGGAATAGCAGTAAATGCATGAGTCATAGACAGAGGGTAGCAAGGCTTTGTGGATGAAAGAAAAGCTATGAAATACTATCACAGTGACCTCTTTATCCTGGATGGCACATTGCCCTAGAGAAATAAATCACCCACTTGGGCATGAAATCAAGGATGGAAAAAAACAGGAAATGCAAGAAGTATATCCCTGTCAAAAATCCTGTTGATGATCTGCCTAACTGGGCAGTTCAGTGCTGTCTAGATAACTAATACTGACTTTAAAACAACATAATAGCTAAAAGTTTTTATAATTCAGGGCTTCAAATACATATTGGTAAAGACTTGTAGAGCTATAAGGACACTGATAAATTACCAGTAAACTTCATGCTTTAATGTCTCTTTACAGTATAGCTTTGTAGTATAGTAAATAGCTATAATAACAAAACAATACAAATTTTGTAAGTTAATTCCTTTCCCTTTTCTTCATTCCTATTCCTTTATTTTATATATGTGACAGTCCATACATTTAAAAGCTATTTCTATACAAAGTACATAATTCTAATTACTCAAATGATTTATTCAGGAAATATTTTTTTGCATTTACTCTTACTCAGGCAGAGCTGCACTGTGTCCAGTGTTCAAAATCATGCTAATTAAACATTTTAAGTTTTCTTATGTCTTTAAATCTGAAACAAAAAATTTCATAATGAAAGGAAATCATGAAATTTTATTGTTAACTTGATTTATTAGAATTTCCTCATATATTTCTTTTTATTAATTTTTCCTGGCTAAGGAAGAAGGATAAAAAAAGGTTTTTTTTCCATTTGTGGCTTTAAATGATACAAATAATTGCAAAAATATAAACATTATTTTGAAAATATAAATATTAATTTTGTACATATTTGTTGAATATATTGCTGCTAAAACATCACTGTTGGTTACGTAGGCTTTAATTACTTAAAAATATTCTTGTGTCTTTTAACCCAATTTCTTTCAAGTATTTAATTATTCAGTTATAAAATTAATTACCAGCTAAGATTGCTTTTTAAACATATATATATATCATGATAGAAAAATGTCACTGACTGGCTTCCTATTTTAGTTCTACTCTGCACCTATGGAAATATTATAAAACACTAAAGGAAGATGCAACCTAAGGACTGATTTGTGGAAATGGGAACATAGTTTAGTAGCAGATCCTTGACTAGCACATACCAGGCCCTGGGGATAACAAGAAAAACACAAACAAAAAACACTGTGTTTTGAGTAACTTTGAATCACTTAAAAGAGATGAAATTTAATCATCTGTATATGAACACAAATGCATAAATGTATAAGCACTCACCCTGAAAGCTGCGAATGATAAAAAAAAAAAAAACAATGCTACCTAATATATAGAGTGTTCTGAGTGAAGGATACAAAGTTTTCAACCTAGGGAGGACAAAGAATGTTAGTTTCACTGGGAAGAGGTCTAGGTTCAGCTTGTAAAATTCAATTTTGTAGGCAAGTACAGGTCTGTTTACTCCTTAGGTCATACTAGGTTTACTGTAGATTATGGTTTAACCACTTTGAATAGCATCCAAAACACATTTGAGGACAGGAAGGTATCATATATTTTAAAGTATGTGCCATACCTGGAGTATGTCTTCTAGTGTCACTACCTTTGGAGCTGTACAATCCAGATTTGTTTCAGTGCCAATTTACAGGGAAGTGAGAGGAAGCATAAAACTGTTGGTAAAATACTGAAATTACAGTTCAAATATCTGCAGGACTCATGCTTTGCTTTTATTCTGTTGTGCTTTTCACACCAACAGCAGTGAAGACTTAGCTCTTATCTAACCTTATCCAACCATTAACTTCTTTAAATTTCTACTCAATTGAATAAGCAGAAATATGCTTTCAGAAGAAGAAAGAGTCTTCAGGTGAGAAATATGACCCTCCCTAACAAGAACTGAATACTTGCCTTTATCTTGGTCTCTCATCCATAATCTAAATTTCCCACCTAGCCAGGACTTCAGGCTGAGGAGGAGATATGCTTAATTAACTTCAGTTATAGAAGTTAAAGTGTAAATGTTTGTGATTCTAAATAACCTGACCACTAGCATCTTTTGGTCAAATCTTTTTTTTTTTCTTGTGCTGGTACTGGGGCTTAAACTCAGGGCTTTGTGCTTTGGATTAGCTTTTTCACTCAAAGCTGGTGCTCTACCATTTGAGCCATATCTCTACTTCTGGTTTTGGCTAGTTAATTAGAGATAAGAATCTCACAGACTTTTCTGATCGGGCTGGCTTAAATCAAGATCATCAGATCTCAGCTTCCTGAGTACTTATGATTGCAGACATGAGGCACATGTATCTAGCTCCAAATGTTAATAGTATTATTAATATTATTAATTAAAGCACAAATAATACTTAAATTGCTCATGCTTCAAGCTGCTATCTCTTCTGAAATTTTTTTCTTTAGTATTGGTTGTAGGACTTGAATTCAGGGCCTGAGCACTACCCCTGATCTTTTCCACTCAGGCTAGCACTCCACCACTTGGAGTCACAGATCCACTTCCAGTTTTTGAGTAGTTAATTGGAAATAACAGACTCACAGACTTACTTTCACAAGATGGCTTTGAATTGTGATCCTCAGATCTCAGTCTTCCAGCTAGGATTACAGGCACGAGACGCCAGTACCCAGCTTGAAATTCGTAATTTATTTGGGGAAATATGACAATTTTTGTATATTTGGATTATACATTTAAGCTACACTCTTTTATAGGTATGATTAATTCAACCTGATACTACAGTATATATGGTTATCAAAGAATTTTTGTTTTTACCAAAATAATTTAATTTTAATAACTATTTCTTTTCAGTTGCTGAGAACTCTTAAGGTATTTTTCCCAGTTGTATTTCATATCATACTGATGTAGCTGATATTATATTCATTTTTCCTGATTAGAAAATTAAAGTTCAGAAAGCTTACATCCTGGAAAAGGGAAGGGAGGAGTTGGCGAGGTGGGAAGGGAGAGGATGGTAGGGGAAAAACAAAGGAGGTAACAATGCTCGATGGGAAATCTACTTATTACCTTACTAATGTAACTGTAACCTTTCTGTACAGTATTTTTAAAATAAAAAAAACATATAAAAAAGAAAGCTTACATCCTTTGTATATAGTAAGAGAATTTGACATAATATAAACCAATTTACCCAATCCTAACGACAGTGTTATTTCTACAATAATTGTATGACAATAAAAATAGCTTATTTAAATTATTTAATAAATTAACTTATAAATACAATTATTTAATAAAATACTCAACCAATATAAAATTCAATACCAGCTTTTCAAAGTTTTTGACTAAAATATATAAAAATGCATATGAAGTTTAGTATGAAATATTTTTAAGTATCATCAATTATTACCCTGATAATAACCTGCTAATAAAACCTAATGCTAGGATGGGAAGGTGGCTCAGTGGTGGAGTGCCTGTCTCACATGCATGAGGCCCTGGGTTCAATTCCTCAGCACCACATAAGCAGAAAAGGCTGGGAGTGGCATTGTGGCTCAAGTGGTAGGATGCTAGCCTTGAGCTGAAGAGCTGAGGGACAGACCCCAGGCCCAGAGGTCAGGCCCCATAACTGACAAAAAAAAAAACAAAAAACTATTGCTTTCAAGGGGAGGTGGGTAGAGGAATGAAGACAGGAGGCAGGGAGGGAATGCAGTCATAAAATTCAATGCATACCTATGAAACTAGGAAAACTGAAGGGTAGGGATGGGGAGAATGACGAAAGGAGTTGCAACAACAAGTGCACTGTATTCATAAACTGATTTATTAAATCAACACTCCTTTGTACAACTACTTAAAGATAACAAAAATATAATTTTTTTAAAAAACCACTGCTCAAACGAATCTTTCTACTAAGTATATTAAACAAATGAATCATTTAAGCGATCTCTCTTTATACTTAGTTTAAAAATAAGTAAGTACCAAGTTTGGTTAAAAAAAAAATCATGGGGTAGTCAACTGATAAGTATCTACTAACACCTAAAGCATATATAAAAGTCATATCAAAACTTACTTTTAAAACTGACAAGCAAGATGAACAACAGGGAAGCAGGCAGGGATAAAGGAACGTAATAAACAAAATGAATACTATTATGTGCATGTACGGAAATATTACAATGAGCCCCCTCACATTGTACAATTAATAGGTGCAGATTACAAATGTGAAAAAAATATATAAAGCATTATGTCATGTTCTCCAATAAATAAAAATAAGGATAATATGTGCTTGCTATGTTAAGGGTTTATAATTTAGTAGAAGCACAAGGAAAAACCTATCATCATCATCACCATCATCATAAGTAGGAAGGTAGATCATCATCATCATCATCATCATCATTATCATCATCATCATCACTGACTTAAAATTTTTCACTATTGTGCTAAACTAGGAGTGAACTTAAAAATATTGAAAAACTTCTACAGCACAGGCACCCCACCAGAATGGCTGCCAGTTTACATCTTGATACACAAGGTACCTGGCCAGCTGAATTTCAGTCTTCATTTGTAACTGTTAACACAGACCCATAGTTGAATATATTCTTTTTTTAATGAAAAATCACACTTAACTTTATTATTTGGTAGATATCAGAATACCAACTTCTCCTAAGAGTTTATGCTGTGATTTTATTTTAAAATGAGGCACTGTTAATTTACATTTTATTTAAGGCCATACAACTGAGTAAGAATAAAATATAATAGAACATAATGAATCAAAATATAGACCAAATAAAAATTCAAAAGTAGCCAGTGTAAGTGAGCATTATTTCAGGCAGCAGAATGATGACACTATGCATACTACCTACTGATGGAGTATTATACATGAGTGTTTGTAATTATTGATTTGCTAGGATTAAATTGTCCCATGAATTTACAGCCAGCTCAGAGCAAGGAAATGGAAACATACTTTTTTTTTTCTTTTTTGCCAGTCCTGGAGCTTGAACGCAGGACCTGGGCACTGTCCCTGAGCCTCTCTGTGCTCAAGGCTAGCACTCCACCACTTGAGCCACAGCACCACATCCAGTTTTTTCTGTTTATGTGGAATCAAACTCAGGGCTTCACGCATGCTAGGCAAGCACTCTACCACTAAGCTACATTCCCAGCCCCATGCATTGTTTTTAAATGATTTAAAGGTATTTATAATATACCAGACATTGCATCTGTAATGTTATTGATGTTCAAATATGGATGGTTTGGGAAAAATTACAAAAAAAGCTGAAATATTGGGACTGACTTGTAAAAAATAAATTATTTTCATCAAAATCTGAATGTCCAAGCTACTTTCCCATTATTTCTTTGAATATTTACTTCAAAAACAATTGAGAGCTGGGCGCCGGTGACTACACCTGTAATCTTAGCTACTCAGGAGTCTGAGATCTGAGGATCTCAGTTCAAAGCCAACCCAGGCAGGAAAGTCTGTGAGACTCTTTTATAGATATATAGATATAGATATAGATATATAGACATAGATATAGATATATAGATTTTTTTTCCATCGTTGGGCTTGAATCTGGGCTTGGGTGCTGTACCTCAGCTCTTCAGCTCAAGGCTGGCACTCTGCCACTTGAGCCACAGTGCCACTTTCGGCTTTTTCTGTTTATGTGGTGCTAAGGAATCGAACCCAGGGCTTATGCATGCAAGAAAAGCACTCTACCACTGAGCCACCTTCCCAGCCCTACTCTGTGAGACTCTTACCTCCATTAAACTACCAGAAAACCAGAAGTGGTGTTGTGGCTCAAGTGGTAGAGCACTCGCCTCGAGCTGAAGAGCTCATGGACAGTGCCCAGACCCAGAGTTCAAGTCCCACAGCCAACAAAACAAAAAACAAACAAAAAAACCCCACTGAGAACACAATTTCAATGCTTATATCTAAAACTCTGGTTGCTTTGGAAATAAAACATTTAATTTAATTTAACTGAAAATATATAGGAGATAGTTAAGTAAAATTAAATACCACATTAAAAAATAAAAAATATATGTGTTTTAAACATAGGGAATATCTAAAGCTCATTTAACTATTTCAAACATTCAGTAGTCCAGGATACTTAGAGGAATAGGGTGAATACATTACAAAGTTTACAAATACAATATAAATGCCCATATCAAAAAAGATTTTATAAAGCGTTTCTTGAAATAAAGAAGCGAATTATATTTCATAGTTTCAAGTATTCAAAGAAATAGACACTATGGCAAAAGTCTGTTTTATTCTTATTTGCTGATCTTTGTCTATGTATTTGTTACCTATGTCCTTGACTTCCTTCACTGCTTCTGCCTGCATTTCATTCCAGCTATTTATGTTGCTACATGAAATACTGCTTATCTGCATTCACTTACATTTATTTTATTGGGAATTTTAAGTGTGCCTAGAAATGGATATTCTAATTATAATTCCTGTAGAACCTCTTTTTCCCCCACAAAACACTCCAAAGCACTATATTCCCGTAATTGAGTAAACATTTTAGAAAAACAATCAAATTACTTAAGAAATTCAAAATAGTCATTAAAAAAAGTTAGCAATTGAATATAGATTGTACATGGATAGGAAAGTTGAAGGGCAAATAACCCCATGTAAAAACTCTTCATTTGAACTGAGAACAGGTCCTCTGGCTTGGGAAGCCACAAGAAGGAAGGGAAGGATGACCAGGTAAGCTGGAAGCCACTTTCCAAACACTGGGCTTCTAACCACAAAGGACCAGCAGCCACACACTGTGGCACCATGCTTGCCAAGACTGCCAGCTCTGAAACATCTACAAACAACTGCATGCCAAAAAGTCTGGGTTTGGTTTGGTTGTGTGTGCTCTCCCATTCATACTTTCTATTTTCTATTTTCTCTTCCCTTCTCCTCTCCCTCTCCCTCTCTCTCTCTAGTCCCCTCTCTTTCTAAACTCTGAACTGTCTTGTTTGCCCTCTCCCCTCAGTCCCCTTCCAGTCCCACTGGTTTTGGGCTAGTAGTGTCCATTTGGTAGAAAATAATATAATGTAATGTAAAATAATGTAATGATAATGCCTCAAAATAGGCATTTGTATTTTTTGTAAGACAAAAGAGAAGAGGTCCATGTTCATATAAGAAGGGCTCATTTAACAAACAAGAACAATATCAGGCTAAAAACCATATCTGTAAAAATTTGGATTTTATACCCACAAGATCATATATGGAAGTCATAATCCCTCTGTACCTAAACTGTGGCCATCTTAGAAAACAAGAGTCACTGCAGATGAAGTCAGTTAAGATCTTAAGGTCTTAACTAACCTAACTTTCCTCTAATCCAAAACAACTAGAGGGCTGAGAAGGTGGCTCAGTGGTAGAGCACTTGCCTTGCATGCATGAGGCCCTGGGTTTGATTCCTCAGCACCACATAAGGAAAAAGAAAAAAAGCCAGAAGTGAGCTGTGGCTCAAGTGGTAGGATGCTAGCCTTGAGCTGAAGAGCTGAGGGACAGTGCCCAGGCCCAGAGTTCAAGCCCCATGACTGGAACCAAAAAAAAAAAAAAAAAGACTAGAATTCTTACAAAGGAAAAAATGGATATAGCCTCAGACCTGGAGAACATCACATGAAGAAGAAAGCACATATCAGGGTTATGTTTCACAAAACAAGGAACTTTATAGGCTGTCAGCAAGCCATCAAAAGCTAAAGAATAGGCCAGATTGTCCCTTACAGCCCTCAAAAAAAAAAAAAAAAAAAAAGGGGGGGGGCTCGTCAGCTGCCAGTACCTTGATCTCAGACAACCTCCAAAATGTGAGGCAATAAATGTAAGTTGAGCCCTACATCCCCGTCCCCCCACCTCCACCTCACCCCACCCCCGTTTATATTGCTTTATCAAGGCAGCCCTAGTAGACTAATACAAAGAATGAAGAGAGTGGCCACAAAAAGGTCGGGCAAGGAGGAAGGTGGGGTAGTTGGAAAATTTTCCACTCTACATATCTGGTTAACTATCAGTAACCTCACACTTGAGGTGACCTAGGTTTTCCCTTGTATTTTGTCTGCCCACCACACTGACTTTCTTTGGGGTCCACAGTCTGTGACTCTTGAGCTACACACAGGCTGTTCTTTTATCTCACCTCTCAACTGCTCTGTTCTCAACATGCTCACCCAGTGCAACAGCTCCTAGATGGCAGTTCAATCACTTTCTCAGAAACTCCTTCCTTCTGCTCTCCAGCCAAGTTAGATCCTGATTATCATAAAACTTCAAACACACTATACGTTATCTTTACTATTACTATAGTCCATAGGCAATATCTTAACCTATAACAATGACATTGTGTACTATGTGTTTTCCCTAATGGACTGTAGCATTCACAGCACAGCACCATGACTACTTTGCTATCATGATCCAGCACAGTGTGTTGTGTGTTAGGTGTGTAATACATATTTGCCTCGCAGGCCTTAGGTTCTTAATCTCACAAATTCTACATCTCCAGCAGACACACCAATGCCCCCAAACTATCTTATCAATCTAAAAGCATGGAATCCCAAAGGGCCCCTCACCTCCAGCAATTACCAACTGAGTAATACAGCTTCCCCTGCTCTGTAGTCACAGATTCTTTGTACCACTTAAGTATTATTTCTCAAATTTGCTACTGCACCCACTCCACTTCATCTGGGCAAGTCTGAGTTTTCCTGCTACAGCACCTAAACTGATATACCTTACTAATATTCAAGCTGACTTCTACTGCCTACCACAAATGGCTTTGGGCAGGAGAGGGGGCTGCTTTGATTAGTTTTTGTTTTGAGGTTTACTTCAACTAAACTTTTCCAATGAAATGTAAGTAGGAATACAATAAATGCCAGGTTAGGTATAAAGCTTGGCAAAGTATGTTCTTACTATACCTAAGTTCCTGGAAGGGAGAATAGAAGGAAAGGAAAGAAGGCATCAATAAATACAAGAGATTTCTATGAAACTGGTTGCCAGGTGGGGGAGCTATAGAAGGATTTGAGAGAGACAAGGTCTCTCCCCACATTTGGCCTTTCATATCCCTGACATACAGGTCTCCCCTTAAATAACTATGAGACGTCATCAGTCTACCCAAGGTTCTTCAAAACAAAGTTGAAAATATAGGCGTATCTGATTAACCTAATTTTTTTAGTAGAAGAGTCACAATTCTCCCTTAACTATCATCTTCATTCCCAAAAGTCTAACCAAATAAAAACGAACATTTTAATATAAATATTCCATGTCCTGGTTCTAATTCTTTCCTGCCATGTTTGTTTTTCGCTGATTCTTGTGTCAGACAAGATTATTTCCATTTTAAGGATGTAGACATGGAGTTGAAGAAGTGAGGTCAGGCCTGCACAGCTATAAAACGGCAAAAATGATCTGAAATCAGATCTTCTTATTCCTTTAGGTACAGGTGCACCTTTAGTCAGGTGCAGCCAACTACAACAATGAAAATTATAGGAGAGATTCAAGAAAAGGTTTTTGATCCTCATAGGTCCCAGAGATAGTAGGCACAGCAAGTCACACAGCAACACATTAGAAAGTTTCATAGTGGTCAGAAGGACAACACTGAGATAAGACCCAAAGCAAAAGCTCTTGTTGAGATTGCATGGAATGGCAAAGCGAATCAGAGCAACCAATTTAGAATTGGCTATTATGAACAAGCTCGATGGGCTCTTGGCTAAAAGGGTAGTGTCTAGTTGCATAGTATCTGGTCCAGGAAGGAATATCAACCTCCTAAATGCATGGGCCAGACAGAGGAAGAAGTACAGGTTAGTTATATCTAAGCAACTAGCTCCAGGAGAGACTCTCCTCATCCAGGAAGGGTTGTTTTTTTTTTTTTTAATGTCAACATATCATAAGAAAATAAACATAATCAATACACCAGACTATCTGACTTGACACCTTCAGCCACTGTCCTGTTGTGTCCCTAGCACAGTCATAGTGAGACATCAAACAGGCACAACAAAGTACTT